CTTCCTCTTTAACTTTGACTGTGGGCTAATCTCCAGGTCCGATGCGACATTAATTAAGTGTGGGACTTACATAAACCCGTAGTAAAGCTTAATGTATTTAACCATATTCACCAAGAAGCAGCTGCAGTATGTGGAACAGCAACGCATGCGCATATGGGCCTCAACGTTTTCCTATGGAGCAGCCAATCAGAATGGCGCTTTGGAAACATTTCTGAAAATATTACTTTGTTCAAAAATAAATAAAAAAGAAAGTAATGTCAGGAGTAGATCTGAAGTAAACAAATGTAATCTGAAATAAAAGTCGGGTGATAACAAAAAACTCAATAGTTTAGTATAGAACAAAAAATATACAGTAAATACAGAGCTATATTGCCCTCTACTGGAATAAAAAATTCACTGCAGCCTGAGGCCTAACGAACTTGAGGAACTAATATGAAACCGATTTATTTTTATTTCAGTATATACACTACAAGTATGTGGGCACCCAACTCTAGTTGAAGAAATTTATACTTTTGCTTCTGTGAAGTATTTCCAGGTCGCTCTCCGGGACGTGATGAAATGTGATAAATAACAGGCAACATTTCCCGTTTTAAATGGTTAGGCAGAGCAAGGTGTCACCAAATAGTGATATGCCAAAGCACATCTCAGGATTTCATCCTTTGCATTCTGAGTATTGATGAAATAGACAGGAAACAAGTTTTCCAATGTCCCGGCCTGAGGTTGATGTCTTCCCCCTGCACCATACTCACATCCGTGGATGTTTATCTGACCCAGTTTTGGGATTAAAGTTAACGTTAATCTGCTGTAATACGCATGGATACTTTGAAGATCATATTTTATCTTCCTATTCTAAAATTCAATTTAATATATGGACCAGAGTCCTGGACCAGACAGATATTTTTCCTTTTTTTTTTTTTAGCATTTTCAAACAAAGTCAAGCTTTTATTTCAGTAAAATTATTGTGGATAATCAGGTTTTAAAAAGCGAAAAGTCGAAAAAAAAAATGACAGTCAAGATTTTTTACATATAAAATCGGTGAGTCCTTTTCCGTGTGTGTGTCCACCTGTAGACCTGGATAATCCCATTTAGCAGATTAGCGTAAGCATGATAGAGGGAGAAGGAGAAGAAGAGAGTAAACACAGACAAGGAAACCATTTGTGGTTGTCAGTCGCCCTGGATCTGGACTCAGGTCTGTGGAACTTTGAGAGTGAGGGGTTTTTGATTCCGAGACCATTATTGTGAAAGGATGAAAGGAGGATACCTCTAAGAAGCCAAATCTCTATGCCGACAACATCTTTGGAAGCTAATTTTTTACAAATTTGCAAAATCTAAAAGACTGCTATTTTGGTTGTTTCCTCGATTTTTGTTGTTTCAAACCAAACTTTATTATGTTTGATGAAAAATCATGTAACATTTGACCACATCACAGACGTTTGGCTTTCTCCAACTTTGTCATGTAAAGCCAGACATTTATTTTGAAGGAATGTTGTTAACATAGTATGATTACTATTATTTTAGATTTTTAGATTACTTCTATTTTTTTAACAGAACCAAAGTCTTGTAGAAGACGTTATCCCTTCTTTATAAAGCTGTGCTTTGAATCCGTCAAAACTTTCAGCATGAAAAATTGGATCAGGAAGGAAGCAGTCATATTGTGCTGACGTGTCTTTAATCATTGATTGGTCAGCACTAGGAACTGTTAGCCAACATGGAATGTCTGGGTGGAGAGGGGACAGGGCCTGGTCTCACATCACGCTGCTGGAACGCCATACCTGATGAAGAACTGGAAGAGCTCCTCCCCCGAAAGATGTCCACCTTGCAGCCAAAGAGCAGTGGCAGTCTGCGGCGCCGTTTGCTCAGTGCCAAACTCCACCAGAACTGCAATGCCGTTTGGAGGACGAATATGGGCAGCGTCAATACTTACAACAAAGCCGAGTGTCCTGTGGGTGACATGAAGCCCCTTCTATCTCAGCATCATCACTCAGTAAACACTGGCAGCCTTTGGCAGCGTAGCCAGCATTTACCATCTCGCCCCTACATTTACCCTTCCTGTGACCCAGAGACTCTTGGGAAACCATTTCTGGCCCCGGAGGTTGATGAGAAACCTTCTTTTCCTTTTCAGTCTCTACAAATTCAGCTCCAACATTCTGGCCATCCTGTCATCTCTCAGGGGTACAGTCCAAACTCATTTCGGCCAGAGTCATGCCCTTTGCCCCCTTTGAGGGAGCCACAGAGGCCACGGTACCAGTACCAGTCCAGCAGGAGGTACAGGTTTAGCATCAAACAATGGAGGAAGAGAAGAAACGCTGGACAGGAAGTCACACAGACCACCCCTCTTCTACCTAAAGGTATGATGTTAAATCTCATCCAAACTGCTAACATTGATGATCCGCTTGAATACACATGAACCTTGTGCAGTTTGATGACGTGCAAAGCTCTTACAAAGTATTAGATTGGTTGCCCAGCACCAATACTGCTATTGGTACAACCCTAAAAGAAGTGCACTGCTCTGGAGTCAGGATTAGAGACAGATTAATGAAAGGGTAAGAGTTAAGTTTAGAGGTATATTTTTTTATTTTTAATGTTGGGGTAAAGGGGACAACTAAATACATTGTGTCTCTGTGAAGTACTGAAAAACTGTGTGTGTGTGTGTGTGTGTGTGTTAACAGGGATTAGCTGTACCTCCATATGCTACACTAATGGCCAATACCTGAAATATAAACAAGGCTGACCAGCTGTCACATATTAGCTCCAGCTCTTACCTGTTTCTCAGAACTCTAACTGACGTATATCCATTACCCAATTAAAAACAAATGCTATTTCTTAGCTAGATTTGCTGTCTGTTAGCTGCTACAGCTCAGGTTTCCCTCATTCAAATGGTGGATGTTGACAACAGGGCTATCTTTGATGGAATGACAGGAAGTAGTATTGTAGATTGACAAATGATGTCATGTGTGTGTGTGACCTACTTTCTTTTTAAGGATCAAACTAATTAAAAGGGAGGAAGAAAGTAGAATAATTAGCTGCTCCGGTGGCCCATATCCACAACCCACATCGGACTGGAACTGACCCACTTTGTTCAAAAAGGTGGTCCTTGTTCCTGGTACTAGTTTGTGTGGTGGAAACTGAAGCAGGTGCTTGTACTGTTCTTGTGTTGTCCTTGAAAGACGTAGTTTCTTCTACTTGCTATGACAGAGGGTGTACATGCAGTTGCTGCCTCGAGGTCACTGTTCTTTTTTGCAGTGAAAACCTTCAGTGACATGTTCACAAACTGATCATTGTTTTCACCATCACTGACTTAAAACACGTAGAGAATATATTTTAGCTCACGCAGGGACACAGGGGCTGCTGGTCTGGTGGAGGTAAATTAGAACATAGGACATAGAATTTCGCAACATGACATCTTTGAACACAGTCGTTGAGGCAGCAGTGGATCAAACACTGCAGTGTCTGCGAGCTAACATGAATTTCACTATTGACTTTGGTCTGGGTCTTTTTCCCGTGCGCCAAAATCTATTGCTTTTGGGTGCTTGTTGCAGTGTTTGTGGATAACCTTCATCACCTCATCACACTCACACGCACGTTGGCTTTCTGCCAACTGTGTGTGTCTGAGAGACTAGGAGTGAAAGGGCGAGAGACCTAGAGATTGAACAGTCGGAAGAAAGAGAGGGAGAGTGGGAGGAGAGTGATATTGCAGTGAGTGGAGCTGCAATGCTGCTGCTGCTCACTCGCCCTACACACACACACACACACTCCCTCGCTGTCTGCTGCAGCATTAGGAGTGTGTATGTGTGAGTGTGTGTGGAGTCATCATGGTTTTAATCGGAGCTGCGATCAAATCTGTTCTGCAGTACTTCAGTAAGACTAGAGGTGAGTGTGTATGTATTTCTGTGTTCTGTGTGTGTGTGTGTGTATGCAGAGTGTCTACATCCATTTCTTCTTCTCACATAGTGACATCATTACATCCAGTCGTGAACACAAGGCACCTAGTTCCATACCTCAAATTCTCATCCATCCAAATCTCTTGCTGGAGTTTTGTTTTTAGCTTTTCCATAACCTTTCCATAACTGATGGAATTCCTGGAAGCAGCAATGACATTAAATCCTCAAGGCATTTGTCATGAAGCTCCAACGACATTATTTTTCCTGATTTAAACAGAAGTCAGAAAAAAGTAATATTTTCGTTTTATGGCCTTTAAAAAGGGAACCAAGTATGACAGAACTATTACTGGAACTTTTCCTCTCTTTCAAATAACATTGCTCTTTCAGGAACCCTGTAGCTCACTTGTTCATCTCCATGAGGTCAGAGGACATGCACATCACCTAATTTATCAGTATTTAATAGTAGTAGTACTTGAAAGGCACTAAACAGACTCCAGAACCCCAGCTAGGGTCCTCTTTATCACAGAGGGGGTTTGGCCTTTTCAACAGCCTGCGGTACCTCCTGTACCAATCACTCTGGTGTCAAAAAGACATCTTCCACTAGGCCCTTATTCGTCTCTGAAACTGTTGGCCTTCTTTGACCTCAGTCAACCATTTGAAGACACTGTGAGGACCTCAGCTACTGCTTCAAAACACTTGCCTTATTAAACCTACATCAGGATCATTTGAGCTTCCTCAAAACCCTATTACTGCTGAAGTACTACCTCATCTATTACCAGACTAAAAGACTCCCTGTAGACTGTGGAGGTCTACAAACACCTCACTAACCTGTGGTACCACTTAAGACACTGTTTAAGGAGCAAGGGTTCTCA